TGTTTCACCCAATTACTCCTTTTCCCAGTCTCAAATAACGTCATTACCTCCACAAAGAAACCAGATTCTGTTATTTTACAGGAGCATCTTGGTAGCGGCAGTCCCAAACTGAATCACTGACTCACAAAGAAGCAAATACAAATTGCTCCATTACCCCCAGGATATGCCCAAATTTCCCCCAGTTGAAGAACCACTGCGCTAGTTGGAAGGTAAATTGTAAGAAGTTACCATATGCTCATAAGGGACAGTAAAAAGGAGTTAAACAATTTTTGAAGGCATTTTAGCTCCTACAATAAAAATGTTGGGAAGCTTTCGCAAGTGCTTAACTGTGTTACTGTAAGGTCAATCCTCACAACTGGACTTCTGGACTTAGTTTCCTGAACTATAATTTATAACAAAGGCATGTAACTTCAGGCCACATTTTTCCAGGCCCAAGACACCCACAGAATACCAATATGAGAAGGCTAGGTGCGTGTGTGCGTGTGTGTGTGTGTAGGCTTTAAAGAATAAAATAGATGCCTCAAACCCTAATCCTGGTTCTACCAACTCTGCATCATCAACCTGCCCACTGCAGCTCCCAGTCACCCAAAAATGTTAAGCACCATCCCTGGTCAGCAAACAGATGCCCGTCTCTTCTCTGAGCCAAATGTAAATGAAGTTCATGATGGCTTTGAACAGAGTGTGAACCCAGTTCTTAACACTAGTTCCAAATGGAATCTTTACTCCACTTGAGAAGCTCAAGTTAGCCATAAAGATCGTACCACATATGCTTGGACAGACATATAAATGTTTTAGCTTATTCCATTATAAATAATGTTCTGTGTCTGTTTTGAGTCATGTGAGTAGGAGCAATCTCATGATTTTAGCAGTCACTACAGTGGTTACTGGATGATAGGAAGACTAAAGCTATGTCTGTCTCTCCTTTGTGTCCTGAAGGTGGCAGCAGTTCTCTTAGCACACAACATGATTGTGGTATGATCTGCAGTGAACCAAAGGGTGCTGACAGCTGCTGCTCCCTTATGGTGAACAGACCAAATTTGTAGGAAAACAAAGCAAACTGTTTGCCTAACAGAACAAGTGGGTTCTTCATTCATTACTCCTTTGAGTGGACATTTAAGTCATAACCAATATGCAGTACATTCATTTCACCTTCAAAGATTATAAGAAAGCAGTAAGGAAAAGCAAAAAATTATGCTGGGATAATGCCCGTTATATAGTATTATCCTGCCATGACACCATTAATGGATCTGAGGTGATGCAGTTAATTGGTGTTGTTTTAACGTATTGTTAACTTGGGAGCTTTAATATTAATATTCGTTTACTGGGATCTGAGCTAATTTTATTGGATTATTGTGTTGTTGATTTTGGTTTGTATAATAATAATAATTATAACCATTATGATTCCTGAATTAGAAATGGGAAACAGAGGTGTGACTCAGCCTTCCAAAACCTGGTGCTTCCAGGTATGCTGGTATGAACATGATTGGCCATGCTTGCTGCTAATTCTGGGAGTTGTAGTCCAAACACATCTGGAGGGCAACTCTCTGGGGAAAGCTAAATAGTGCATGAGAGAGGAAACTTCTCATGACAATCAAAAGTAAACAGAGCAATTCAGTGGTTGATTTGGTAAAAAAAAAAAAAGTTAAATGCAACTTTCATTAAAAAAAAATCTATTATAGGCCTGAACCAAAAAGGTAGTTTTAAAGAGAGTTATAATATCATTAAACCACAATTCATTATGTTACACACCACTGGATGTTTAGAGCACTTTCATTTCTACTTCAAGAGGTTGGTAGGGTTTGGAGAAACTCATCAACAAGCAACTTTCCCTTTTCATTACTATGTAAGATAAAATTGCTCCCTCTTTCTGATAGTTAGTTGCAGGAACCTTGTTCATAGCACAGAGCAAAACCCTAGCAACATTATGAACAGGAGTTGGGATCCAAGGAATTAACTTTGGCTCCTCAGAGGATATAATGTAAATAGAATTTTGTTGACTTTCTAAACAGTGAGTTAATTTTTCTTCCCATTTGGATGTTAACATTGTATTGAGATTGGCTTTAAGATCTGGCCTGGACTTGAAAGTGGGAAAAAAATGACAACTTGTTCCAGAGTGATCATAGCTGTTCTTGAATTATACAGCAAGTTTCTAATGGATGAATGTGACAAGAAGCTGTCATCACGTTGCAATCCTTTAATGGAATGGTTTAGGATCTCCATATTGGAGGGAACACCTTATCTTGCATACATGTAAGTATGTTTCTCTTCTGTGTCCTAGAGGAAAAGGTGGTGTTTGGAGATGTGAGAAAGATTTTTTCACTATAGCAGTCCACGGATGGAATGTCCTTTCTCTAAAGCCAGGCTAGTATCAATATAACTTTGGGGTCTCAAATGGCAGTACTTTATTTAATCTAGGTGGATTTTGTTGCATTTTATAATGTATTTATTTTTGTTGATTGTATCCCACCTTGAGATCTGTTGATATAGAGAGTGGTTTTTATTTAAATAAATATGAAATATGAAATGTTTTTCACATGAATAGCTATGCTGTGAAGAAAGGAGGCATATCCTAATATGTTAATAGGGTAACAGTTTGAATTAATTCTCATACAACATTCTGTATCCACCAGATGGCTCTTGGAGTATATATGATTGAGGAAAAAAAAGGTTTTAAATCCACGCAGCATCCAGCTGGCACGCAACACCTTCCTTTGAACAGAGAGGATAGGTGACATCTATAAACAAGTAACATACATACATACTTATAGTAATTCTTCTATATGCACAATTATAGCAAATATTTGAGGAGCTTCTGGAATTTGATCAAAATCTATTAGGGAATTTCTTTGATGGGAATAATTTAGGAGCGTGATTCACAGTGGTAATAATTAAATTCACTATTGGGTTGTTTTAATAACGATTGCAATGTTGCTATTGCTGTTTTACATGTTATCTGGATTTTAGTCTTTTAAATTAATTCGTTTTCCTTAAATAGTTGCCTTGAGCCTCTCTCTTATAAATAAACAAACAAAACATTAGGTTCAAATCAGATCTTCTCAGCCCTCCTTTAGTGCAAGAGACATATGGGCAGTTTGCTGGAAAAGGCTATTTGTTTGATCTGAACGAACCAGTGGAATTAAAACATGGCATTTTGTACCGTTCCAATAAATGCAGTTTCACTTGTCACCCACTCACTTTTTAAAAAAATGTTCATTTTAGTCATAGTGCACAATTCCATATTCTTCTAATAGGGAAATTTTGGGATGCATTTTCTTATGACCTTGCAGACATTCTCCAAACTTTTCACCTGAACAAATGGTCAGTGATAGCATCCATAATTTGTCTTTTACTCTCACACTATTCTGAATCATTTTACTTCTTCTTAAACCTTACTTCCTTTTGAAACTGCCATGTTTTTGTATGAAACTGTGACAGTATTAATGTACTGTTGATATGAAAACCTGGTAACTCCAGGAAGATAGCAAAAAGCCAAACAGCCTATTATATACTTCTGTTTGCACACAACCAAGATGTGATTTTAAAAAATTAAATTGGTAATAATATGGATATATTTTTAATGGGAAGACTTACATTGAAAGATATATTGGCGTGGAAATATCTGAGGAACAGTTTAATATAACTTATAAATGGAAAAGAAGCTGCCTTATAATAAAGTAAATTGGTTCATCTAACTCAGTATTAGCTATGCTGGACCTTAGTGGCTCTGAAGTTCCCAGAGATTCAGATGATAAAGTTTTCCAGCTCTACCTGGAAATGTTGGAGATCTTCTGTATGAGGCCTGAGAACGTCTGCATGTAAAGTAGGTGCTCTACCATTGACATATCCTCTTCCAGTTATGGGACTTTGTTTTGGAAGGTGTTCCAAATCCTAGGTTGTTCCTTTGCTTATCTCCACAGTTCATAAACTGTGCACCACAGCACCCCAGGGTGCTGCAGCAAACTCAAGGGGCACTATGGCATATTTTACTATTTAATAAACAGAACTGTTAGTGAGTTTGCTAGGGTGCTGTGAATCAAGACAGTTTGGGAACCTCTGGCTTATCCATTCTGGCTACCACTACTGATAAACTTAAAATGGTCTTGTAAAAAGTTAAGTAGTATAAATTGTTGGCATCTGCAGACCAGGTATCAAAAATACAATTCCCTCTCTCTCTCTCTCCATTTTTTTCTCTCTCTTTTTTTGCAGTCAGATTCCATAATGTTGCCAGATGGGGTGCAATATCTGGTTGCTGTTGTGATGGAAGAGGTGTCATCAACAGACACAGAAATCTCAGCAGTCTTTCAGGGAGTTGCAGAACATACTAACTGAAAGTTGAAATATCAATGCTGCAAATATCTCCACCAGCAAATCCCTTAATCTTCCCTGATGGACTAGCATTGACTATAATTGGCTTCAGTGAAGTAATATCAATAGAAGAAAAAAATGAATTAGACCAATTCTTTCGCACAGTCATCAAAAAAAGATTTCCCAACCAAAGCCCTCTTCCCCAGCACCAAAAGGGTTATAATGAAGACAGTGGGAAAAGAGGAATCAGTGGCACTATGCAGGTGAGTGCTCATTTCCAGACATGTGAGAACTTTTCATGGCAAAATTACAAATGGGTAATGGATTACTAGTCTGCCATGTTTTCTCAAATGATCAAAATTATATGCCAAGGCTGAAAAGGAAACTGGATGCTCCTGGATTCTAGGCACCCTAATAGGACCTTTACAAACACAGAAAATACAAGAGATCAAAACACATGCTAATTTTGCTGAACGGACTACCACTGTTGGGCATAGCATGTGCAAATCTAAGGATGTTGAAATAACTTTGGATGATTGTTAGTAGTTATGGGGGGGTCAAATTATTAGCATCGAGAAAACGTTATAATTAGGTTCAGTCTTTCAAAGATAGTTACCTTGATTTTTTTCATTATGGATATTTAATACATATTGTATCCTACAAGGCAGAAATTTATAAAGAAACATTCAACTTACAGCATGAGGATATGGGTACACTGATGGCCAAGATGATCCATGCTATATCCACTTTGCTGAGGCAAATGGTTGCCCTGTATTGGGGCTTGTCCCCTTCTGTGACATGAGAAATATTTCCTGGGACGTCAGGCTTTCTAGTACCAGCAGGTACCAGTCTGTTTAGGAAATTCTCTGTCGCTGTTGAAGTGGAACTTGGAAGCCATGTAGAGGATTCTGTAGAAAGCGTACTGCTTGGCAGGCTGGTATTATATCCAGAGGGATGCAGTGTGGTGGCTGGTTCCTCAACAGAGCTCCCTGTTGTATATGAGGAGGAAAGACTGGCATCAGCATCACTTTGACTAGGGCGTCCAAAGTCTACTTCTGCTGTTGTTGTCCCAGGACTGGCAAAAAAGGGTACCTGGTTTGTACTCTGGCTCGAGTTTATCCATGAGTTATTTTTCCCCAGTATATCCCATATGCCAAACCGCGTGGGTTTAAAAGGCACTGTCACCATTTCAGGAACAGTTGATGGATCAATTGTTGGTGTGGTGAGATCAACCTCCCGTGTAATCCGTTCTGATGACTTCCCCTTCTCTATTTCGTTAAGGCCTTCCAAGGTGTGGAAAGAAGCAACTGAGTCTGTTGTGGCTCCCTGTAAAGTATTTTGACGACTGGTGTGAACTGTAGGCTGGGTCTGAAATGGATGTTTTGGGGGCCAGTTTTCTGTGGTAGCAGAAGAATATAATTCTGTCTTTAGATAAGGCTCTGTAAATGCTGTGAAATTGCCTTGGACACTCAGAAACATTTTTCCTTTGGTGAGTGTCTTTCTGGACAACAAAGCACTCTGGTTGTATAAATGATAAGGTTCTGTGTTGCCAACAAAATGGCTGCTGCTTAGTTCCTTCTGGCCAACAGAAGGGACAGAAGTTTCTGCTGAACTACTGGAGTCAGCATTTGCAAGAGTTGTTGTGGGCAAAGATTTGGTTGGGTGATGGCCTCTGAGTCCTGGAGTTGTCCCCATAGCTGAGATACTAATATTGTCCATCAGGAGGCCCTGAGATGACACAAGTTTGGGAGTCAGTACCTGAACAGCAAATACTAATTCTTCTGTTAGTGCCAAGATCAATAGAACACCTAGAAAAAACAACCAAACAAGAGAGACAAAAGTGAATGATTTGGAAAATCTGAATCCCATTAAAATAGCAAACCTGTAGTGACAAAATTATATATCTGCATAAAATACATACATATGCCAATTTTATTATATAAATGATCTGAATATAAGAAGAAATACAATATTTTAATTAGAAATAAAATACCATAGTAGCACGATACCATAATAAGCCTGGAAGCCATGTTTTTGTAGTTTACTATCCAGATCATCTTTCTCACCTGGAGTTCTGTGGAACCCTAGGGCTTTGTGAGAGGTTGCTAGGAGTTCCATGAGCGATTGTGATCGGGGAAAAAAAACTTTTAATTTTGACAGTGCACAATGCTAGTGCTTGCTATGGTGGGGATTTTTATGTGCCATGACTCAGCTGCTGACCTGCAGTTTGCTGTTATTGTGAATTGTGTGGGTTAGAAGTGAATTGTATTGTGAAGTTTTCCTATTTTTGCCATTTTTAGTAGGGTTCCCTGAGACCTGAAAATTATTTCAAGGTTTACCCCAGGGTAAAGGACTAGAATTCATGGTCTCCTGGTTTGTAGCGTGGTGCCTTAACCATTACACCAAACTGGCTCTCTAAGAAAAAACAGAAAAAACTAATGCATGTATTGAAAGTGTATGAAATGTCTATTGGTCCAAGAGCCTCTTTTGGCTCTGTGCAAAACTAGATGTACTCCCTAAACTAGATGGGGCCCAGGACCCTGAGTTTGGGAAGGTTTCAGGACCTTAAGCCTCTGCAAATCTTTTTTTTTTAAAAAAAGGTCCAAATTATCCATATGTATATACCATTATTCTGAGCTACATATGACAGAGGCAGGGATGGAAACTGCAAATGCAAAAAGGATAAACCATTATAGTAATCTTATTACTTGTGGCCACTTCCAAATAAGCTATTGTTGATAATATGAACAATAGTGTGGTGTTAGATAAACTTATTAACACATATGTTATGATTTAAAAAAAAGAAAATCTCAATTTAAGTTGCAGGAAACAGAAGTGAGTCTCTTAGAATCAGAGAATTCAAAGGGGCCATTAAAGTCATTAAGTCCAATGATTTATTCTATGTAGGAACCCAAATTAAAATATCTATGACAGCACCTGCTTGAACAACTCCAGCAAAAGGGAACCTACCACCTGTCTGGGTAACTGAGTCCTCTATCAAGCTCTTAATATTCAATTGGAATTGTAACTTAAATCCATTATCCCAAGAGTGCATTCTGAATGAAAGAGAACAAGTCCATGACTTTCCTGCACCTTAACTCTAAGGTCTCTCATTCAAATCTCATCTTGCAATTTATTTATTCCAAAATGGGCACTTCTATCAGTGGTAGTGATAGAATATCCTAGAATCAACATTATGGTGACTGAAGATCATGCTTGTTGTTCACTAGAAAACACTTCTGAGCCCCAATCCACTGTCTGTTGAACGAAGTATCCCCTAAGAATGCCCGAGTGAGCTATAACTTTTCTTGGTTTGTATTATATTACAGAATACAGCAGATGGGACAAAAGAACCCAGAGATAAATGTAGGATATGGATTAGCTTTAGTTAAAGCCCATCCAGATGGCTCAAACAAATGAAATGTGTCATTCATGACAGGGGAAACAAAAGGTGAGAGACCATATGGCTAAGTCAGAAAGAAAATTCTTTCACAGTGAGGAAATCAGTGATTGTCTGAGCATGAGAGCAAAGTAAATTGGCTGAAGTTCTTCTGGCTGAAAGTTTTCTAGGTTCAGATGCACATGTACCACAACCACTTATGCTGTATCTCCAATCACTACTATCATTCAGATGTTGGAAGGAAAAAAATACTTTACCTTCAAAATCATAGGTAAATAATTTAACTCTGGGCTTTAATGGGTTATTAATTTGTCATAATTTTTTTAAACCAGATGCTTTCCCAAATTTGGTGGCTTCCAGATGTACTGGTCCACATTACCCAAAGTTCCAAGTCAGAGGAATGCTGTTCTAGAGAGCTTCTGCAGAACCATCACAGGACAATGTCCTCTTAGGATGCACTGGTTTAATACAACACATTAGCTCCTTCATATTCTAGGAGTTAATGGAACCTGGCCACACAAACATTTAAGTTTTTCTGTAAGAAAACATTCATATCTTTTCTACATTAGTCAGAGGGATGGTGAATTTACATTGAACTGGCCATGTGTAGTATTAACAAAAAACCCAAAAATCTAAACTCTCCCTTGAGCTTAGACTCCTGGTGACTATACAGGTATGTTTGCATTGTTCTCTTGGCAGCAATACACTAGTGGTTTGGCACTGTCTTCTGATGGATTTTTTTTAATTTTCCAATTTAGGCTACCTCTGTGGCAGACTGTACACGCTGAGTGTTTGCAGATTAGTATTTTGCGGTAGTTTTATGCATGCATATTGGCCGGCACACAGAGTAATCTTTTAACCAGGTCAGCAGCAGTATAGAGCTTATTCATGGTAAGAGCTTTGGGATATGTGTCTTGGAAGTAAGTAGTCAGAACTGTGCCTTATACCAGGATTTACAAATGGAGTCACTAAGCTGTCCTCTTATTTGCCAAGCAAAGGCATTTTTGGTTTGGATGGATATCAAAGTGGCCTCTTTAAATCTCAGGGCAATAAAAGGAAAACTTCCTACTAAATTCAGTAGGCTTTGGATTAAGTTCTAATCATCATGTGAATTTCTGTGGAAAAATTTACTTAGATAGGCATTTTCAATGGTGAATAATCATGCCAAAGCAAAGAGCACTGTCTTACACACCTAAATACGACATTTCCCACTCACTCTCCACCATCACCACCAATCTTGGTCATTTATTTATTTATATCTCAAATTGGGTCACTGCCCATGTCACTAGGAAGTGACTCTGGGCACTTTACAATAAAAACAAAAAATAAATACTAATTAAAATACACTAAAAATAGTATAAAAATATAATAAAAACCAAATACATACATAAATAACAATATCTTCCTAGATGCTGCTGGTAGAAAAGATATTAACATACAGGAGCATCTTCAAGGTGCTAGCCATCCCCAGGGTAACAGGATAGACACAGCCTCTTGATCAGCTAGCACAGCTTGAAAAACACAACTGCCAAGCAAAGGCAGAAGGAGATTTTTGTGCTCAGACCTACCCATAAAACCACAATCTTCATTTGGTTCCCTTGAGCTAAGAAAACAAAACTAATTGCCTGGAGCTCTCTTCAGATTGGAAAAGCACATTCTAGCGGAAAGGAAGATTGTGCATTAATCTCCTTAGAGGACAAATGACCATGAAAATTACACCAACTTTCAACCTCTGTGGAAAGCAAACAAAACATAAAAAGGTCTCAACAAATATTCTAAAGCACTGCTTTATTTGTTTTGCTTTACTTTCTTCGAAGTAGACATATACAACTTTTTGTTACGAAATCTCTAAGTGTCACTCATCTTTTAAAATTTAAACAGAACTCATTTTCAATGAGTCTAGGTGTAGTAATATATTTCATGTATTTGTTTTTGAAGCAGGGAAGGGCATGATTCCTTTCATGTAGGGAACAATTTATCTGAAATGGATGAACTCTCAATATCATTGTACAGCAGATCCCAGATATTTCAAAATTAGTGGGGGGGGGGGGTTTCCTTTGAACTGCTAAATATTTGGAGATTTCAATGCTGGGCTAGAGTGAGGTTACCAAATACAAAACATAATTTGGCAAATAATCTCTAGTACTTTTTTATCTAATTAGAAATAAGCCTGTGAATAAGCCATCAATTAATGAAAAATTAGTATGTGTGAATCTTCAAACCATGGTAGTGTCTGCCAGGCGTTTACCCCTCTTTCTTGTGTTACTTCATTTTGTTTCATATTTTAGAAGCCATTCTGCCAAAATACAGATGGATTTGGGAGCAAATGACCTATAAAACATTATACAAATTATGGTGAACAATCCAGTAAATGATGCATCAGCTCTATCAAAGCTTAGATTTCTCCACAACTATTTTGTCCTCACAATAACTTGCATTAAGGTTAGAACAGTTCATTTGTTGACTAACTTCGTTTCTTGAAAAGGATACTTGTCTTTTTCTTACTCTCTTGGGATTAAGCATCAGGGGAAGGATATTGGGGTGTTTCAGTTTAGGAACACTGTGATTCCAAGGCTGACACTCTACTTTTTGAAGATAGGATTAAGCTGATACAATCCAATAAAGCCCACTTCATAGGGACAGGTGTGCCAAGGAAGAGACAAACACATAAAAGCAACTGACCTGAACCCGGGGCCTTTGTCATTTCAAACCACAATTCTTACCATTCCCGTCCATTGGTCATCCGGCTGAAGCTGAGGGGATTCATAATCCAAAACATCTAGAGGCCACCAAGTGGCTAGGGAAGGCTACTCTACAGCAAGCCCGGTGTGTTCAGTATAAGCCTTAGAAATTCTATTTCCAAAAATATGCAGAATTAAGGGGTGGTTCGGGGTAACAGCCATTCAGGGAAGCAACATTAAGAGCTTGACTTGTTCCTCAGCCATTTACCCCTTAACAAGAACCACCTGACCAGCCCATTTGTCACGAAGGTTCGTTTCCACAGAAGCGAGCTCGGTTCAAAAAACAAGAGCCGCAGTTCACTCTCGGTTTATCAAGCATTCGGAACAATAGACAGTAGTAACCGAGTATTAATGCCACCAGCCATCCAGGCGGTTTTTCATTCCTGTGCAGGGCGGGCGGGCAGCAAGCGAGACTCCTTTATGGTAAAGCGCAGCTGCTACTGACAAACGCATCCAGACAGCCGAGTTTTCTGGCAACGACCACGGGCCATTTAATAACCTAACCTCGTCATTCTCGAGAGGAGGAGGGTGACGGGAATAGGGAGGGGGTGCGGCCGCGGCGGCAGGGAGAGAAGACCGAAGACTCCGGTCTGGCTGACCCGGGGAATTATGACTCACCTGAAAATATCATTTGGACTCGACGTCAGCAGACATTCTCACCTGCCGGCCTCATGCGGACGTCCAAGCGGCTTCATAGCAGGACGTCGAGCAAGCCAGAGCCCCGAGCGGCTCCCACCCAGAGATCGCTCGCTCACGCTGGGGTCTGTTGGGGGGTCGGAACCGACTACGCAGGCGTGTCTTGCGGAAACAGGCAGCGTCGCGCCGGCTCGCTTTTGCAGAGGAGGTTTGCGAAGACGAGGACCGCGCGCGACTTATTAGTTACTGAGTCCTGTTTCTCCCCGCCCCCAGCAAAGCTGCTTTGTATTCCAGTTTGAGTGATTCGCCGTCCCCCCCGCCATCATCCCCGCCCAATACGACACTGGGGCTTATGCAATGCGGTGGCGCTCTCCGATCCCACGAGAACCTCGAACTGCGCTCGTTTGCTGGCGGAGAAGCCTCCCCTCCTTGTGGCAGACTGTATGGAGGGTTGCCTAAATGTTTTCTGGTTGAGACGGCTGGCACGGACATTTGGCTGCGTTTTGCGAGACCTGCTCTCCGGCTTCGTGGAAGACCGATTTAAAAAATCAAGAGAGAACGTAGGAAAAAGAGAGCAGTGCTGGTTTGTGATCTCTGGGGTGATCATTTGTGGGCCTAAACCAGGGTTTCTCAACCTCAGCAACTTTAAGGACCAGTGGACTTCAACTCCCAGAATTCCCCAGCCAGCATATGCTGC